TGATACTCCAGGAACTGGTCTGACTTTGAGCTTTCCCGTTCCTCATCTGATGGATTATATGGTGTCAAGTCACCAGGTAAAGTTGTCTCATCTGTAAAGGTTATAATATTTTATTAAAGATCCAGGATCCAGCAAAAAAAAAAAAAAAAAAAAAAGGCAGCAAAGCTGTCAAATGTACAGACAAAAAGCAGATGATAACAATGCACAAAATAGGCTACTATCAATTCTGATGCAAAAGTACATTACGCTTTTAAGTTAAAACTCCAATTCAACATCAAATTTATATTATGCTCAACAGGTAATACCAATGTAAGTAAAATGTGTAACAAGCATAAGCCTTTAGGCCCATGGAAGTTTAAGACCCCATTTCCAGAGATTAGATCGATCTACTTTAGATCGACCTAACTCCCTGGGGGTTCACGCTAAATAGCTGTCAGCCGGGCGGACACGAAAGTTAATTACCCCCTTACAGCTTGTAGTAGGCGGGACAGACTTTTAAGCCGGATTATCTGACAGTAATCTAGTGAGACTCACCGGGGGGATAGATCGATCTAAAAACCCTGGGAATACAGCCTAAGTTCACACTTTGAAAATGCCAAAATGAGAAAAATGAAAATTTCACACAAAATTGCATAAATTCTATAATAAATGATAACCCAATTGAGCTGGCTTTTTTATTTGAACTGCATGCCAATCCTAAAAATCATACTTGTAAGTTAAAAATAATAATAAGTAACACAGCTTTCTTTTCATAATGTTTGTAGTAGCAGTGCAAAAAGATTTTTGTTGATGTAACATAACATAATAAATTACAGAATAATTATCACCAATTTTTGATTATTGGCTATAAATAGCATGGACATGTAGAAAATTTGATTACCATTCGGCTTCATGTCCATGGGAGCTCCAAGTCCCACAATGAATATGCCAACACAATAAAAATGAATATTTCACTAAAATGTATAACTTCCAGAAAAAGAAGCCAATTAGACTACTTTCCAATTCAGGCTGAATTTTAGTCCAGTGTTTCTTTTTTGAAAGTTTCACAATCATAAGTAACATGGTTTTCCCATATTGGTCATCATGGTAGCAGCACCTAAAATTGTGTTTTCTTCTATTTTGATGCAATATTACATAATGCTTAACAGCATAATGACCATCAATTTTCAATGATGAAATATACGTATCATGGATTTTCTGAAAATGTGACTAGCATGGGTCTTCAAGCCCATGGAGGTTCACACCTTGAAAATGCCAATATGTGAAAAATTAGATTTTCACGAGAAAACTGTTTTACTGCCAGAAAAATTTACCAAACAGACTGCATTGCCTACTGAAGCTGTATTTTAGTCCCATGTTTCTTTCCTGTAAGTTTGAGAACAGTAAGTGACATGGTTTTCCCTAAATGGTCATCATGGGAGCAGTGCCCAAAATAGGGGTTTCTTCAAATTTTCATGCAACATTACATAATGTTTAACAGCATAATGACCATCAATTTTTAATAATAAAATATTAGTATCATGGATATTCAGAAAATGTGACTAGCAAAGGTCTTCAGGAACATGGAACTTCAATGTCACACCTTGAAAATGCCAATATGTGAAAAATTAAATTTTCCCCAAAAAATGTTTAACTGCCAGAAAGAATTACCAAACAGACTGCATTGCCTACTGAAGCTGTATTTTAGTCCCATGTTTCTTTCCTGTAAGTTTGAGAACAGTAAGTGACATGGTTTTCCTTAAATGGTCATCATGGGAGCAGTGCCCAAAATAGAGGTTTCTTCAAATTTTGATGCAATATTACATAATGTTTAACAGCATCATGACCATCAATTTTTAATAATAAAATATTAGTATCATGGATATTCAGAAAATGTGACTAGCAAAGGTCTTCAGGCCCATGGAACTTCAAAGCCACACCTTGAAAATGCCCAAATGTAAACAAGACAGCACTGTTCTGAAATGGGTTTTTCCCATTTTTAACAATTTTTTAACATAAAACAAAATTAACAGTTTACTGCCATTTTTATATGATCAACTAAGAAAATTGATGAGATGGGAAAAATATCAATACAACAGTGTTAAATGTCCAATTTCCTCCATTCTGATATTCTAAACATGGTGAATGATTGAACCTGACAAACTGCAATGATAGGCGTATATTTCCATTTTTGAAACTTTATTACACAATACACGATAACAAGTTTACCATCATTTTTAAATAATCAACTAACAATGTTGTAAAGATGCAGGAAATGTCAAACAAACACTTTTACTTATCTTAGTAGTTAAATAATGAGACTGTTAACATGCCTAAGAATTGAATCTGAGGAAATGTGAAAAAAACAGCATAACTGCTAAAATAATGGCCAGCTTATGCTGATTTTCGAACTTGAACTGCGTTTTAGTAAGATTGATTACTCCTGTGAGTTTCATTACAACAGGTATTTATTACTATCGGTTTTCCTTGGAATGTGTTTACAGTGTTGCATATATGCTGAAAAGTGAAAAAAAAAAACAGCATAACTACTAAAATAGTGGCCCGATCATGCTGATTTTTGAACTTGACCTACATTTTATAAATATTCATCAGCTCTGTAAATATAAAGCCAAAAAGTAAAACTGTCTTCCACTTATCGTGTTTACGCTGAAAGTGCACGGCGACAGCGACGGCGACAGCGACGGCGACGACAGACACAGGTGATGGCAATATGTACAGACACATCTGTGTCTGTACATAAAATAAATCATCAGCTGTGTTATGCATTCAAAATTACAATATTCAGTTTTTCCATCAGCATTATCACACCTAAATCCCCTGAAATATTGCAGTGGTAGTGAAAACCTAGAGCTGTTTTTGTATTATTATAACTGAATATCAGGGAAGTTTAGTCCGGTTGCTTAGGGCAAAAAAATGGCCAAATCGTGACACAGCGGATAAAAGCACCAAATTTTGCATTTGGGTACCTTTTGACATACTAAATCAAATTAGAGCCGTAGCCCACAGAAAAAATTTACCGTTTGGCCAAAAATCCAAAATGGCCGCCAATTTGTGAAATTTTGTAGAAATATATACATATCTATGTTGATTTTTATCAAATTAGGTATTTTCTCAATGTTTTCCACATCCTTATTACCCATATTATGCATATGTGTCAGATAACAAACTAGTGTCCTTGGACTTACTGAAAAATCCAAGCTGGCCGCCGTATGGCATAGGAATACNTAGGACTAATAAGGATGGGCAAAACTTGATAAGCAAACATAAATTCACCCTGGTAGTAGATGAAAAGCCATGGATGTGCAGTTGTAATTCCAGTAGTATTCCTATGGCCAGTGACGGCCATCTTGGGTTTTCTCAAAATGATCAAATATGCACATTTATTACCTGCTAGATATGTATCACAGTGTAATAATAATGTGTAAAACACTAAAAAAATAAACTGAATTTGATAGTGAATTAGCTGGCAATAGTTCCAAACCTTTGTAATACTAGAAGTATTCCTATTACATATGACGGCCATCTTGGATTTTTTCAAAATGCCCAAGAATACTGTTAGTTACTCACCACATACATATTGTGTGGGTAGAAAAGATGTGGAAAACACTCAGAAACCAGCTTAATTTGATAGTGAAAAACTAATCTTTCCAGTTGCCATTAGTTGAATCCCCCGTATACTAGAATTCCTGTGGCACATGGCAGCCATCTTGGATTTTCCAAAATCCCCAAGAACACTTCGTAGTTATTCACCACAAACATATTATGTGGGTAACAAAGATCTGAGAAACAGACTTAATTTGATAGTGGACAATGTATCGTTCTAGCTGGTAATAGTTGTGCACTAGTATTCCTATGGCTGTTTCTATGGCAAATTACAGCCATCTTGGATTTTTTAAAAAGTCCAAGGGAACTTGTTTGCTATCTGACATATATGAATAAAATGGGTAATAAGGGTGTGGAAAACTCTGAGAAAATAATTTATTTAATAAAAATCAACATAGGTATGTACATATTTCTAAAGAATTCAATAAATTGGCGGCCATTTTGGACTTTTTGGCCAAACGGTTATTTTTTTTCGTGGGCTACGGCTCTAATTTGATTTAGAATGTCAAAAGGTACCCACATGCAAAATTTGATGCTTTTATCCGCCGTGTCACGATTTTTTCCTTAAGCCACCGGACTAGTTTAACTTAAACTGAATTTGAAATATAGTGCATTCAGACTTTCTCAATGACATTTTTTTAGTTGCTTTCCAACTTACTCAAGCAGCATCCCACTGTGAGATATTTTTCACCCCCCTATCCACCCAATACTGATAAAGAACTGAACAGACATCTTCATCTAATAAAACAATAAAGGAATATCATATCACGTGTTCTCACCTGTAGGTGTACTGCTGTATGTCTCACTCCTCTTCCTGGTCTGATAAATAATGATCACCCAGACCAAGGACGTTCCCACCACGCAGCACACCACAGCTATTATTATAATGATTGATAACAGTCAGCTGGGACATCCCTCTCTCCATCCACAGAGTGTTGGACATTTCACACGTATACCTCCCGGCATCCTCTGGCCGTGTCTGGACAATGACCAGTAACTGGTTGTTGGCCGTGAAGAAATGGCGTTCCGTCACCCCCAGCAGTTTATCGTTCTTGAGCCAGGTCAGTTTGGGTTTGGGACTTCCCGCGGCCAGGCATTCCAGAACCATGGTCTCCCCAACCTACGTAAGTAACTGGGATGTCCCCTTTCTCATTCATAGCTTACTGTCTATGGATGGATGAAGGTCACTGGGTAAAGCAACTGCCAGTAATTACTGCAGTAACAGTTCTTTAATCTAACTGACCAAGATTCATTGTTTGTTTTTCCATTTCTAAAAGCTTTTATAAACTGAGATGTAAGGCCTAAATGCTTGATAATATCAAATAATTTCTAAAAATACAATTAAATTTGTATCACAATTGCTGCAGAAAGTCAGTCAGTTTTGTTGACCACTTAGTTTATTTAAGGAGGGAAGCAAGCTCACTTTGTCCATTTTCAGTGAGACATTTCTTTAATAAATCAAATGCCTCATCTCCTCTGGTTTTGAGTATGTCCAGGAAGACAGCAGTTTTCTCTGGACATACCACCCTGGTAGATGAGGTTTGGTCATGGTGTTGAGGTGGCTCTGCTCTCACCATTTCAGCTTCACGGTGTGTGATGATGAATTCTTGGAGGAACTCATTTAACATGTCCTTGAGACAGGGTTCTGTGATTTTTTCACAAAGCCTTGATTGTTTTTCACACAGAACTGAAAACAAAAAATAATGACATATGAAAAAAAATCCTGTAATCATTATGAAAAACAGCAATTGAAGTTGATAATTAATAACAAGGCTTTGACACATAGGCAGAGACAAATGTATAAAAATACAAAATATTAACAAGAAAAAATCCCCACAGCTGTAAGAACATGTTTATTAAGTGCATGGAAATAATATGTGAACATTTTTACAAAAATACTAAGTACCAGAAATCAATGCTACTTTAGCAAAATGCTGTGCTAACAAAATCAGATTCTTCTCTTTTGTGAATTTTTTTGATGTCACGTTCAGGTGAGGGCAGTTTGACAACATTTTTGAGAAAAAAAGATGTACACAAAAAAGAGAAACTAGAGAAGTGCTGTGGTAATGTTATTATAGTACCATACTTACCTTCCTGCCAGCTAGGTGGGTAGACTAGGTCTGCAGGAATGAAGACACCAGTATTGACACATGGCACCTGTCTTGGTTTTGAAGTTGTTCCAATGGTTTGGTCAAGTATCTCTCCAGGGAAGAAGGTTGGGTGCTCACTGTTCTCACTCACACAGTGGGGACACACCAAGTACTTGTCATATGACAGTCCAGGCCAGTCATCGTTAATGATGGCCATGAGGTCACTGTGACCTCGTGTGAAAACACGCCATATGTCTGAGAGATGTGATCCACGGACAGCAATGCTGATAACCCAGTCTGGATCTTGGCTAACTGGATCAGGATTTAGCTGATTTTGCCCCCGTGTCAGCTGCATTTTGCATCCCTCAAATTCTGCATACACTCCATCCTTCCAATCTATTCGCATGGTCTTCATGAGTCCAAGGTGCTTGTGCTGACGAACAGAAAATTTCTCATGTAAGCCATCTGGACATTTGTATGAAAAGAGAACCTGCAGGGTAAGTTGTGTGGTGTTTGGGGGAACCTTGCTGGGCCATTTGGTGTCTAGCTCAGCTTGTCTTTCTTCAGTGAGGAGCCATGGAAAGTGGAATGAGGTGTTGGCTGGAAGGGATTCATCTTCCTGGACTTGATAGCACAGCTCCAGTTTCTGCATGAGTTCTGTCATAGCATCTACTTCTTCAGAACTGAGATTGAAAGGCTGCCACAAACACAACATGGCTGTTTTTGAAATCACTCCCCTAGTTCTGAGATCTTCGATAACATCATGTTTTTTGGGTGCTGTCATTGTCAGTGAATCTTGCAGGGTCTTGATGGTAGCATCCACGTCATGATTAAGGATTACCTTCAGAAGATTTGCAAGGATCTCTTGATTGTGGAATACTGTCTGGTTTAGCAAGGGACTTGTCTCAAACCAGATGATGTCTCCACGCTGGGCCAAGAGGGAAAGGATGTCATAGATTGTTTGGTTAATTTTCTGGTCTGAGTACCGTCTCTTCATAAAGAATGTCCTCCAAGATTTTGGCTTGAATCGTATGTTTGGAGACTGTTTAAGAGTATCCAAGTTAAGTGTATTTTCAGAACTATCTTGCCTCTTTCTGAAGATATCTGTGGCTGCTTCAACCCAGATCCCTGGTAGAATGACTGCATGTTCTCTTGCAAAAGAAGTAAGATAGTGCTTTAGCTCATTAAGTCCTGTTTTGGTTTTGGAACTAACCAGGAAGATATGGTCATGAATATCACTCACTTGATCTTTTAAGGTTCGCAGCTTGTCAACTTTGTTCTTGTAAGCCTCATGCATGGAAATTTGCTTTGGATCTATTTCTGACATTTTTAGCTCGATCTTCTTCATTTGAGTTTCAAACCATTCTTGTTTTTTCCTCTTGTGTACTGCAAGTTCTTTCTTTAAAAACGAACATTTTGTACTTCTCAAGTCAGCATTAACTTTATCAACATGAGTTCCAACAAGTGCCATTTTTATCCCTGGCATCTGTGCTTGCACCTTGTCAATCCAGTCTCCAATGTAGAGCTGATAATGAGCCTCATTGTTTGGGTCATATTTGGAAAGGTCAAATGTTATCAAAATCAAACCATGTTTGGATATAAAAAAGGATGACCTATTTTATAGACATCATGTCCACCAAAGTCATTGATATTGAAGGAAATATCCTGGTCAGCCTCCCATGCTCCCTGCTCCACCACTCTTGTCCTGTCTGCCTTCTTTGTGAGGGCAGGCTGTCCAAGTTGCAGTGTACGTGAAATGCTAGTTTTTCCTGCTTCTGTTTCACCAAGAAAGCTGACCTGTATTCTACTTGACTGAATTGCCTTGGTGTCAGTTAAAGCCTGTAAATACCTCTTGATGGCATGTAGTCCCCTGTTGGCAGTTTGTATAGGTGGTTGTACAAGGGGATTATTTGCCACATCTAGTTCTGTTAGATTTCCCATGTTCCTCATCTGAGGTGGCAGGTGGGTGATTTTATTGTTATACAGGCTAAGACTCTTAAGTTCAGTCAACTTTGTGATATCCACTGGTATGTCAGATAGCTGGTTGTCACCCATTTCCAGCTGCTCTAGGTTAGTCAAGCCACACAGTGCTATGGGGAATGTAGTGAAAGCATTGCTACTGAGGTCGAATACTTTAAGCCCCTTCATCTTGGTGATATCCACTGGTATGTCAGATAGCTGGTTGTTTGACAGGTACAGCTCCTCTAGGTTAGTCAAGCCACACAGTGCCATGGGGAATGTAGTGAAAGCATTGTGACTGAGCCAGAATTCTCTAAGCCCCTTCATCCTGGTGATATCCACTGGTATGTCAGATAGCTTGTTGTTACCCAGGTACAACTTCTCTAGGTTAGTCAAGTCACACAGTGCTATTGGGAATGTAGTGAAGGCATTGACAGATAGTTCCAACACTGTGAGGTGTGGCAGGTTGGATATGGACTGTGGTAAAGATAACCTGTTGAATGCTGCATATATCTCCTTAACATTTCTGCACCTGTCAATGGACTCTGGTAGGTTGTCTATACCAGCACTTCTTATATCAAGCTCAGTCCATTCCAGCACAGTGTCTGGTGTCTTGGACTGTGGAGACAACTGTAGCCTATGTAAGAGATTAAGTCTATCTCTACCTGCTATTACTTGTCTGTAAGCCATGTCTCAGGAATGGAGCAGTAGGAAGAAGTGTCACTGCTTTATGTTCTATATGGTCATATGGAGAATGTGTCAAATATTTTTTTTGACTTTCTCCATTACTGCACATACATGTCTTTTATTGTCTTTTCTTTGTCTGAAATTGAAAAAAGATAAATTGGTAGCAAAATGTTAATTTTGTTAAAAATGAGTCATGCACAGTATTGGGGTTTTGTTGGCAAAATTAAACATTTTATCTCTACTTCCCTCTGATCACAGGTACCTTATCTTAAAATATGTAACTAAGTCATAAGTCTACTCTTTTGTTGTCTTTCTGTGAAAGAAAAATATATAAATTGATAGAAGTGTAACATGCACTTCTTTTGTTTGAATTAATCAGCTATATGGTATTTTGTATATGGTATTTTGTGGCCAAAAATTCCACCATAAAATTATCTCCATGTGGTTTCACTTGACAAAAGGTATGTGAACATTTATAAGTACTCTGGTAAATCTTGTATTTAAGCATTTTTAACATGATATTCATTTTTGTTCAGTATTACCTTATGTGGATTTAATGTGCATTTGGACAAAATATCTGAAAAAATTAATAGGAATAGACTGATGAAAAGCTGGATGGATGAGGTACATAAATGAAACTGTCTTTTAAAATTTCTCAAATTAATGTTGAAAATTAAATAATTTTGATTGCAAAAGTCTGTGATCAGAATTTGGGGTGGTTAAAAAAGAAATTGTCCTAAGAGCCAATTAATGAATGAATTCATGAACTAATTAAAATGCACATAATCTTTAAAGCAATAATAACTCTTCCTTTGAGATTCAAAATTCCGCAAGAAATACATTGTAAACAACGCCTGGAGATATATATTCTATTGCATTTTCCCACTAAAACGACTGTTATTGTAGTAAAACTAAAATCTGTGCTTGTCACTTGGGCTTTCAATGCCTTTCTTCACGGTCATCAAGGCATCTGTTGCCAATGACGTTGAGGTGTCACGCGGATTCTCACGTTCATTCGAGACCAAAATAACATGGCGGGAAACCCTCAGACATAAGTTGCAAGTTTCTGTAGAGTGCGTTGGATAACGAAAAGCCCAGAATTGCACACATTGTAGATATAAATGCATTTTGAGCAATAAGATGAATATATCTTATGAATCTTATATTATTGTTATATAGTGTTGTTGTTGTCTGCTTTTCCCGCGGTTTTAAGTAGGTCACCAGAAACTATCGCTCGATATTGCGTGACTATGCCATGTCAGAGAGGGCTCCGTCAGTTAAAATCTCTTAAGAGATTTTAACAAAAAACTGTACGTTTAGGAAAAAAAACCTGGATTAACTTTGAATGCAGGAATGACGTCGTTGACCATTGGTAAGTACAGGAAAATTGCCGTTTTTTCCAGGAAATTCGTATTTTTGGCCAAAACGAAGAGTTATTATGACTTTTTACATAAAATTAAATTTAGGCAATATATATGTTCATATATAGCGTACCTTCAGTCTTTTAGTACTGGATATCTATTAAGATAGGTGAAGCTAGACACCAGCTATTACCAACATTTCTGCTGCTGGAGGTCTTAGGTACCTGAAATATGAAACAATATACACCTTTAAACAAACATGCCATGGCTATATCAAACTTAAGCTTAGTACTTTACACTGAGTACAGTTTCGGCTATATTGTTGAAATTTTCAAATTGTGTTTGCCTGGTAGCCTAATAATAAAACGATTTCTTGACATTTTTTTCTAAGAACTCTTCCTGTCCCAGTGTTAAGGGGTCTAGGATATTAACGAAAAAGTCCAAAACTAATGCAGCTAATTAAATTTGCTATTAAGTAAAGGGTATGGTCTAGCAAGCAAAACAATTTTTCAAAGTTTGTAGTCACAGTATAACACGAGTAATGTAATATCAGCGTTTTGGGGCTAAAATTGTCATTTTTTTAATCATGATTTTCTCTTAAACAAAAAGCCCTATAAATACGATTGAAATAGCTATCTAAAGGTTAGCACAAAAAAACAGTAAACTTAGTCAGGATTTTCTCTTATTATTTTTACTTTTGATTTTATTTTGATAAAACGTGAATTTTACTAAATATACCTGTATATGGACCCTTCACTTTCAGTATTAATAACTTCAAATTCAAGACTCAGTTGATTAGATATTATACTGAAACACAGACACATCAAATTTCATGTCAATCTGATATATAGTTAAAGAATGAGATATGGGGATTGAAGTTTAGACTATCAATCTTCAAAGCTGAGAAATCGCCCATAAACCATTTGGCTCAGGTAATTCGGTTAATTTAGCAAATTAATTGCACCTCCACCTTACCTGTTATCATCTAATTGATCGGGAAGGTCTATACACCATTACATGTTAAAATTGGGTTGTTTGTTTATATCTAGATGCCAGAAAATCTTACTTTTGTACGCAAACTTATTCACACCACGAAAGCCGCTCTTCCCTGAGAAATGATTGGCAGCTGAGTAGGCCTACCTACTCTCGTTTCACTGACGTAATTAATCATAATTGTGCCTGACACAGTAGGAGTCTGTGCACTGTCTAGGAAGTGTCTAGGGAAGTGCTAACAAACAAAAAGAAAATTACTTGAGGTGCAAGCAGGGGACAATGCCACCCGTCGTGCGTTGACGCCGCTCTACACATCAAGACCAAGAGTGGTAACCGTTAAAGCAAAGAATTACACCGAGAAATGGCCGAATGTGGGTATATATCAGCCACGATGCCACAGAGTGACAAGACCGTAATATGCGAGTTTGAAAATGTTTTGGGTGGCAATATTATTTATAAACTTGCTTGCTGTTACGATCTTTATTGTGAATAAAATGATTGCCTAATGATTTTTTTCTGACAACCCCAGATGTTCTACGAATACTCAGCAGCTCAAGTATGATCTCGAGTCTGTACCTAGACATGACTGAGACGCTAAGTGAGAAAATTTAAAATATTGTTAACAATGTAATGGAAACAATATAATCTCAGTTCAGCTGACGTAAGACTTATGAGCTGCCAGTGCACGCGTAACAGCTTAAGACAAGTTAGACAACCATTATATTCTTGCCCCGCCCCCATAGTAACGGTGCTTGACAACGGAGGTCGAGCCTAAAGGCTGCCACGGACAGGTAGAAAAACTCGTCCAAATGTATATTTTTAGTCCGCGTTGCAAAAATATAACTTAATTGAGTATTAGATACAATACTGATTATTTCTAACATATAGAAAAACTAAAAATCGAGTTTTAGACATATTTTTTATATCCTTGACCCCTTAATACATTATGTATCAGAAAGAAAATAAGCCAATCTAATAATAATAAAAAAATATTCCATAGGAATTAAAGGAGGAACATTTGTAAGATATAAATATATCTTAGATAAAACTTTGATAATATTAAAGGCAAGAACTACTTCTTTCATACATTTTACATGGGTTGTATTTTAATTTTATTAGTTAAAACTAGGTAAAATCAGGAATCCCTTTTCAACTGATGATTTCCTACAGGATCTTGGCTTCCTATACAGGCCCGTACCCAGCGGGCAAATTATGTTGTTTTAAGGTTGAAACAACGTTGAACCATAACTTTGATAATACGCTGGATTTACATTGGATTTGAAAGTTGACTCAATAACAACGTTGTATCAACGTCAGATAACAACATTGTATCAACCCCAGTTGTAAGACAGCATTCTTGCATGAAAAGACATTAAAATGACCTGAAATGTTTTTTTTTTTTTTTTTTTGTACAAAACACAGGTACACAATTATAACATACCCTGTAAAAACATCCAAGTGCCTGCTTTGTCTGATTTTTTCCACGCATTTAGCTCCTAAGCATGTTTTGCACCTAAGCATGGTACACCCTTTTAGCCTGGATGTGTTTAGCAGTAGGACATGTTTCATGGCTAAATATATGTAGGGTATATATGAATGGCCTTAAAGTTAAAATTTCCAAGGTTTAAATTAAAAAGAAAATTACACACACACACACACACACACACACACACACACACACACACAGGCCTGTAGCCAGCAATTTCTACAGGGGGTTCTTTTTCTGAAAAAGTGGACCTTTTTCCATAAAAACTTCATGTACCTAGTTCAAATTTTACCTAGAGTGGACCTTTCCCAGCAAAAAGGGCGGTTCTTTCGAACCCCCGGAACCCCCACAGGCTACGGGCCTGATATATATATTTATATATATATATAATAAAGTCACAGTTACCTCAACCTGTCTATCTTTAACAGGGTACTGAGAACTGTCAACTTTATTAACTTCACTCCATCACATTTGCACCAAATCATTAATCCTAGTGTTAGCTGACCTTGCAAGGAATTCAGTTAATTGGAATGTATTTCTGAATAACATGTTAAAGTCATAATAACTCTTCGTTTTGGCCAAAAATACGAATTTCCTGGAAAAAACGGCAATTTTCCTGTACTAACCAATGGTCAACAACGTCATTCCTGCATTCCAAGTTAATCCAGGTTTTTTTTCCTAAATGTACGTTTTTTTGTTAAAATCTCTTAAGAGATTTCAACTGACGGAGCCCTCTCTGACATGGCATAGTCAAGCGATATCGAGCGATAGTTTCTGGTGACCTACTTAAAACCGCGGGAAAAGCAGACAACAACAACACTATATAACAATAATATAAGATTCATAAGATATATTCATCTTGCTGCTCAAAATGCATTTATATCTACAATGTGTGCAATTCTGGGCTTTTTGTTATCCAACGCACTGTACAGAAACTCGCAACTTACGTCTGAGGATTTCATCAACGCGTTTCCCGCCATGTTATTTTGGTCTCGAATGAACGCGAGAATCCGCGTGACACCTCAACGTCATTGGCAACGGATGCCTTGACGACCGTGAAGAAAGGCATCAAAAGCCCAAGTGACAAGCACAGATTTTAGTTTTACTACAATAACAGTTATTTTAGTGGGAAAATGCAATAGAATATATTTCAAGGCGTTGTTTACAATGTATTTCTTGCGGAATTTTGAATCTCAAAGGAAGAGTTATAATTGCTTTAAGAAAATTCACTAGTTCACTAAAGACACAAAACAACTGTCACTTTTACTTTAAACACTTTTTTATTATTTTGATAACGTTAGTTACAGTATAATAAACAAAGTATGTTTTCAACAATTAATATTTTAAATTACAATCCATGACTGCAAGGTTGTGTCAATGACCAATATACAATGTTGCGTCAACGTCACATTATGACGGTGTTTCGACGTGGCTGGATCAACGTTGATTTTACGTTGAATTTAGGTACATGTAGATCAACAGCAATTCAATGTATCAACCCGTTTTCAACATTGATCCAACGCGACTATGCCTGCTGGGTAGCCATGGGGGGTTCGGGGGGTTCGAAAGAACCACCCTTTTGGCTGGGAAAAGGTCCACTCTGGGTAAAATTTGATCTATTTACTTGAGGATTTTATGGTAAAAGGTCCACTTTTTCAGAAAACAACCCCCCCCCCCTCTGAAATTGCTGGCTACCGCCTGCTATACTTGTAATTCATATTGTAAATGAAAATTTTATAGGAGCCCACAGGAAATGTTTTTTATAGGAGAGGTTCAACTCTTTAGGTGTTGAAAAGACACTAAACAGAAAAAAAGGTCATTTCAGATATCCTAGATCTACTGTGCCATTTTTGCAAGGACCATCCAAATATAAAAGACTACCAATTAAACAAAAAAAAAAAAAAATGATTTGTCAGTTATAAGAATGTACTTTTATGTGTAAACCTATCCATGCCTAAATACTTTTTTAATTATCTACCTAAACTTAAATAAAAATGTTTTTTTCAGATCAGTCAGTCAATAACAAATAGTATTGCCTCAGATGAAACATCTCCATGAAACATGTCCTACACACACGTGCTGGTATACCACCATATGGGGCAGTGTCTAAGACAATATCTCAACAAGATGAACTCCTTACACTCGGAGAAGCTACATTTATCATAATGATAAGCTGAGAATAACTCCGCCGTGTGTGGGTGCTTTTTAATTGCCATGCTTGTTTACATTGGGGCGTCTCGATAGTCCGAAGGTTCATTGGTCCGAAAAGTGGTAACATTATCATCGATTTTTTAATCAAGGGTTCATTGGTCCGAAGGTTCTATAGTGAATATTTGGACCAATGAACCTTCGGACTATTGCTACGGCCCTGTTTACATAACAATACCGTCACCTTAAAAATGGCGGCAACCAGGAAGTTAAATTCCCAAATTTTCTTTGCTAAATCAATGAGTCCATTTCCACTGTCCCAGAACCCGAGACGCGGTACCTGCTTGTTTCAGAAGCTTGTACTAAGATTTTAGTGTTGTGAGAGTTAAAAAGAAACTTTATAAACAGGTACTTTCAGTTTCAACTTTCACTAGTCTGTATAGTACACTGTAGGCCTACTCACTGTTATTTATGTCAGTGACAGTATCTTTCAGTTCTACGACTTACAGGTGCTTTCTGTGTGGACTCGGTGCTGTTACTTAGGTAAATAACAGTCAGTAACAGCTCTCTAGTTTACTATAGACCTTTTTTTTTGGTTTTGTCTGTCTAATTGCTGCTGATATATCGCAGTTCCGCAGCCAACATCAACGTTTATCGGTCGTATTACTGGTCGTATGCTAGATGGGCTCACAGATGGGCTAGGGGATTTTGCCAATAGAGGGCTTCGTGTGAATACTAGTTATTTTTCATACCACTTGGTGCGCTGTATCCCCATTCACAAAAAGATGCCGTAGACATATTAGCTGAAAATAGCAGTAAACTTGACAGCAATGAAGGTCGCTATTTAAATTTATTATGTTTACGTGTTTGAATAATACATATTATAAATTTTAAAGCTGTCAAGATCTTTAAGAGAAAATTAATTCTTTGGTCAATTAAATGAGGTAGAAACATCATCATTTACATTGTTCTTTTTACAGGTGTTTTCATTCCAATTTCCATGTGAGCCTTCAAGTAATGTCCAGGTATCGATATTGTATATGATGGAGACATGACTTATTTTTCTAAGGTTAGGCCACACTTTTTTATTTTTATGGATGACATCCTCTGAGTACCCCAAAATCGGTGCGAGAGGGCGAAAAAAAAA